TTTTGATTAGGTCATTCTTTGTAAAAAAATGTGTGGTGTTATTTCGAGGGAAAACTAATGTTCTTAATGGTTAAGACTCAATCTCATTTCTTGATCTTGCACAAGTTGTATCGATATTTACGGACTGTGCAAACACAGGCCCGATCGCAGCTTCCAACCAAAAATTCGTTAACTCAATTCGTCCGACCTTGCCGGCTTCATCTGTGACCTTCAGACTACCATCCCTACACAGCTGAGGATTGCGCGTCCAAGATGCAAACGATCAGAAACCACCGGGACCCGAATCACCAGTAACTGGTGGATGATAAAGTAACCGTTGGTAAACATCTATACCCCACAAGCTTCGTGTACGGTAACATACAGAATGGTTATGGAGGAATTGACATATACGTAGGGATGATGCTAGTCAATTTTCTGATGCCCATCTCTTCTAATCTCATTGAACCCGTGCTGGGGAAGTTTTGAGCACTCGGCGATCAGCCCCGTGGGTACATCTGGCTTTGACGGAAAGAGTATGAGGGCAATTGATGTACAAGATTATATGATCGCAATGGAAATATCAGTGATCGGCTGACTGAAGGGATTGAGTAGTGTATTGATCTCAGTGTTATTCGTTTTAATTGAGTCGACAAAATACACGAGCGATAATATTCCTAGCATGATACGATTAGATCCCGCCTGGCGGAACCCGCCAGTGGATGGCGTTCCGTAGTTGACGCAGGCACTGTTCCATAATCGAAGACACAACCCGTACTAATTCTGCTCGACAATTCGCTGCCAAGGATAATCGTAGGTGCCTCGCGAGTGACTATCACATATCTAAGAGTAAACGGCACAGTCAGTGAATATGACGCATCGTCCCCAGAGACGAGATCAAGCAAGGGCGGCGAAAAAGGAAATAATAAGAGAAATACTGCTTATTAATAAAAAGAGGATGAAGCTGCATTTTTTCTGTGACACTATATGGTATCATGCGGAATCCACCTTGCGGAGGTACTGAGCTTAAGGTCGGTTTTCGAGAAATGCACACTCGTATGTGAGCTTCGCATTACGGGGCTGAGCATCTCTTTTAGCAGGTGAGCGAAAGCCCTAGCTTGTTCGCCTCATTTGCACGCAACACTGTGCGATCGCTATATAAAGACGCATAGAGTATAGTATACTCAGTATACCAGTTCCCCATTGCTGGAGTGAACTGTTGATTGCTGTTGCAGTCAGTGGCAGCGCGTTAGTCAAATGTCCATCGAATGCGAGCAGGTGTTGAAGTGAACGGGCGAATCTCCTCTAGGATCAGACGCTGAGGATCGAAAACCATAGTTCCTGATATCATGCTTTTCCTGACGTCTCAAGCTCAGACAAACCACAGAAAACTAACTAAAACTGTACTAACCAACACAAACAGCAGAAATCCTCTCGCAGAATTCCCGAGTCGAGAAATGAATGCACTATTGAATCAACGCTAGAGCTCGTCCTGAAGAGCTCTTATACAACCATATGATAGTATTGAGGTCATCTGCCTGTCGCAGCTCGGTATCTTTGCTTGTTTCTGGGAGATACCGCACACACGGTCAGGTTCGAGAACTTTGTCGCAGAGTAGTCGAAACTGTGAATGAACTGCCGCGAGATTATGCAGAATCCCACACCCTGTGCACCTTGATAATTACGTCGAAAACCCCCAACAAGAGAAAGTTTCCCAACCGTTTCATCATTCTACACCTTTTCAATCTCAAATTCAACAATTGAAAGAACAAATTAGATGGATGAAATTTGATTTTCGACGAGTGAAAGGAGTTTTTCGCGAAGTGAAAGCTCAAATTCGAAATGAAAGTTAGAATTTCGTTGACCGGTCGAAAACGAAAGTTCAAATTCGTAAATGAAATTTATGAATTCGGAAACGCAAGTTCAAATTCGTCGAACACAAGACATGACGACTCGTGCCACGGATCGACTTGCGACTCGCAAATTGCGAGTGCTGATGGTGCCCTACGGGCTGCACCGTAATGCTGAACAGTACAGTGCAACTCAAAAACTTGCAACGAAGGATTTCCAGAGATTCGAGCCCGGAGATTGTTTGGGTTTGATTCTCCCATGGAGAATCTCCATTACCCTTCCGATGATAGCGGGAGGACGATGGGGTCAGCACATGTTCGGTTCGATTTCCTGACCGCCGAACCGAA